TAGATTTCAGATGTCATTTGGGTTCTTTTTAACGATTAAGCAGTATTGTGGCTAGGTATAGACAAGTTCTAGGACACACCTAGGGAGGGGCAGTTTGCCATCAGGAAGAGTATGGTTGGAAGTAGATTGCTGTTGTTATTGTTATGTGCCCTGGAGTCGGACCCCTCCTTGGGTTGCAGTATCACTATGGAAGTAGACTGTCCCACCTTCCAGACAAGGAGGCACTATGCTACCAGAGCTAGATTACACTCTCACAAAGAACTAGGGAACTTGCCTGAGAGTCCTTTTATAATTCCAATTAAGCCTGGAGTCTTGTTTTTGTTTGGTAGTCACCCTGTGGCTAAGATTCAGGCTGCATGTTCATGAGTCACAGCCCATCTGGACCACCACCTCACCAGGTAGTCAAGGCCCAGAACCAATCCTGTAACCCTTTTCTATCTTCAATTATATACGCATCCCAATCATAGTCTTTTCCCTGCTTCTGAAGTCCCGCCTACAATAGTGACAAGTCTATCTACCACCAATCATTATTCTGTGATAACTCCCTTTTTTAAAAAATCATACGTAAATGGCCACATGGCCATGACTCAGAGGACTCTATTCAGCTTTCTCAGCGATGGTTTCCCTTATGCAGGATGATGGTCTTTGTTTTGTCTTTGTCCTATTCAAGGCTTAATAAAAGTGTCTACCAAACCTGGGGAGCTCTGGTAGCATAGTGGCTAAGGCACTTGACTGCTAACCAGAAGACTGGTGGTTCAAATCCACCAACCACTCCTTGGAAGGAAGATGGGGCAATCTATTTCCTAGTGATACTACTGCCTCAGAAACCCAAGGAGGGCTCACTATGAGTTGGGCTTGACTTGAGGGCACATAACAACAACAACAATCAAACCTGTCTGAACCTGGGATCTCTTTTCCCCTATGACAGTGTATGTACAAATTCCTCACAAGTACAATTATACGTTCTGGAATTTCAATTCTTCACAATGTTATCCATAATTTGTTATGATCCACACATAATTTGTTATGATACCTCTGTATAATCAATAAAACACAAGTAAACAGCTAATTTGTTTGACATAGAATATGGAATTCACGGTAACGCATAGTGGATCTGAATGAAGCTGAGTTGAATTATAGTTCAATTCCTCATCCTTTCTGTATTCATCCCCTACCCTGTTAAGAGACAGATGATCAGGCATGATAACCTTTTTCCTTAAAAGCTGAGTTAAATGGAAGCTCAATTCCCTACCCTTTCTATAATCATCCTCCTCCACCCTAGTTGGAGACAGAGAAATTGGTATGATAATGCATTTCCTTGATGTTGTTTTTCAGAAACAACTGTTACCAACATGAAATCAGTTAAAACTGGCTCAGATCAATTTTGGCGCATGGACATGCAGAGTGCGACCAACAGAACAAAGTTGCTCGGAACTAACGTCTCCCCCTCTGCCTAAGTCCCAATCAGTTAATGACAAGAAGTTGGTGTAAACGCACTACATTAAAAACTGACTGTCCCTTTAAACTGAGGCAAAGGAAACCTCACCCAATCTCCAGCTAATTCATGCTCAAATTCCTGAAATTTATATATGTATACACTCCGTTTCTGAATTTTACAAAAGCTGTACCCCAATCCCCACTCAGAGAGTCGTGTTTGGGTACGGGCCCCTGTCTCCTTACCATGCACATGGTAATAAATCTTTCTCATTTCTCAAGTATGCAGGGTGTGTGAAGTGATTTAACTTAATCACATACTAGGCAGGGACTCACTTTAGTTTGATTTCAGATTTATTAATTTGTGTTATTTTAAGATACCTACTCCTTGAAGGAAGACTGGACAATCTACTTTCATAGATACCGCCTCGGAAACCCAAGGAGGGGTTGAGTAGAAATCAATTCCACAACAGTGAGTTGTTTTTCTGTTTGTTTGTTTGTTTGTTTACCCACTGCTGTCAAGTCAATTCCAACTCATACCAACCCCATAGGACACAGCAGAATTATTCATTAGGGTTTATAAAGATGTAAATCTTTACAGATGTTGATTGCCAGATCTTTTCCCCATAGAGCAGCTGGAGGGTTTGAACTACCAACCTTCGGTTGGCAGCCAAGATAAGTAAGTATATTTTAATTTCTAATAAGGTAAATGTCCATAAACTTTTTCAACATAAAAACTCTCTGAGATTCTCAATAATTTAGGAGTGAAAGTGGGTCTGACACACACACACACACACACACAAATGAGAGTTCCTATCTAGAACCATAGGGCAGTTTGTTACCAAAAGTTCTCTCAATTTCTTGAAGGAGAAACAAAATTTTCATTGTCTCAAAATATCTCCCCTAAGATACTTATTAACCACAGAGGGAAAGATAGCAACTTTACAGTAGGGAAATCCAGTAGAAGCCACCTTAATCAAATGATGAAGGGCAACATCACCAGTAATAAGACATACTGACATCATGAACTCCTTGATATGATGCACTAAAGATACAACATCTCTTTTGTGGTATTCTTTCTAAAAATGCATAATCTCATTCAAACCATGAGGAAACATGAGACAAATTCAAATTGAGGAACATTCTATAAATAACTTATCAATACTCTTCAGAAGTGTCAAGACCACGAAAGACATGGAATGTCTAAGGAATAAATGCAGACAGAAGGAGACTAAAGTAGAAATAACAATCAAATGAAATGTGGGATCCTAGATAAGACCTGAGAACAGAAAGAGAACATTAGTAAAAAAAAATTGCTGAAATTTGAATAAAGACTGTTCTTAATAGTATTGTATCATTGAAATTTCCTGGTTTGTAACTATGGTTATATAAGATGGTAACATTTGGGCAAGCTGGGTGAGGGATATACAGAAACAGTACACTATTTTTGCAACTTCTTAAAATAAATTTATAATTAGTTCAATATAAAAAGTTTTTTTCCATTTCTGAAAACTGTTAGCTACGGTTTTAGCTTACCAATTATTTTTAGTCACGATCTTAGATACAAACCATTTTCCGATGACTTCTACTTTCATAAAGTGATTATAGTTCCCATAATGAAATACATTTAAGCCACAAATTAAAGAAGTTTTAAACATAACATGGCATCATAAACACAGACTATGAAACAATATACCTCCAGAGACTAGATTATGATTATTTCAAATAATCAGTAATAAGCTAAATTTAGAGGAAAAAGTTTCTGGAGGTATGTTTGTTTAATATTTGTTTGATGGACAAAAACTGGTATGAACACTCCAAATGGATTAAATTTTCTCAGAAACAGAATTATTTCAATAAGATATAGAAATGTTCCCAATATAATAATAATTTTATAGTTGTTTTCTTAAAGGCAAAAATACCAACCTAGTGAAGTCACAGCCACTCAGCTAAGACTTATATTTTTGGGTCTATGTGGGTAGAGAACAGCAGTGGCAGAGAGACTGCCAAACAATGGTTACCACACAGATTCTAGAATAATATTATCACTAGAGATATAATTCGAGGAGAGGCTGACATTAAACTAGTCAATTCTATAAGTAAATACCTGTCCTCCTCAAGAGGTACTTGTGAAACTTCAGGGACAAATTCTCTACACACAAGTGCCAGACTACAAGTTAAATATTAACGTGGTATCATGATATGAAAAATATAAAGACATAGGACATTATGGCATGTGAACATTATGAGAAATGACCCCTGGGCCAACGGGAATAACAAGTCATAAAAGCAGGAAAGAGAAGAGGCTGATCAAAGGCTTCACCATAGAAGAGAAACACATATACTGAATAGCACATACACTGAAAAGTAGGTCTATCACAAGTGTATGGACTTAATAACACAAGTATATGGGCAGAATAATCTTCATGATCAAGCACACCGTGTAATCAACGTCTGGATCACGAAACAGAACATGACCCACATCCCAGAAATCCGTCCCCTTCCCCCTGAGCTCCAGTTAGTAACAATTATTAAAGAGTTCTAAAAAGTCCATGGCTGACTAGTTTTTAAGGTTTAAGGAACACCCTTTAACATTATTCCTTATTTTATCCTTGGTATCTTTACCACTTTTAATATTTCCTTTTCCTTTATTCTAGACTAATATAGAAGTGTCTTGTTTCCTTAAAAGACAAACTTTACCTACAAATCAAATATCATCATGAATAATACAAATGCACTGTTTTATGAGAAGGGGGTCTTTGTAACTACCTCTTATTTACTTCAGAGGCTGGAAAAGTGAGTCAAAAGCTATTATTGCCTGTGCCATCTCAAGAATGTTGCTTCATCTATATAAACATCAATTTCCTTATTTATAAACTTAACCGAAAATGACTCGACAGAGTACATTCTCCCCAGCCTCCTGCCCTGAATCACTTGGGTGCAGTTTACAGGATTATTCTCACCAACCCACTCCATCAATTTAAGTTCTACCATATTTAACTCAACAAATAATACCTGGAATATTTAGAATCTAACAAATTATATCCTGTATCAACTACAATTATTTGGTACTCAGTTTGAAAGAGAAAGATTGAAATGGTGAGAGAAGGCAGTACCAAGAATCTAACCATTCTGTCTTTGTGTGTATGTTACATTTTCTATCAGTGCTTATTCTATCAAGTAATACCATTAATTATTAATATTATTTTAAGTTGCAGGAAAAAAAAAAAGTCATTAGTTTGGCCCTGTAGCCTTCCTATTAGGCTTACGGACCCTTTTGACTATAAATTTTACACGAAAGGAATTTGTGTTTTTACTTGACAAGTGAAAGCTACAGACTTCTGAAAAGTGACAGTATACCTAATGGACAGTTGACAAACATGAGAAAACTTAGAACACAGATATAACCAAGGAATCTTTTAGACTTATAAATTATTTCAGCATACTATGTGGGAAACAATGAAGGTCCCTGAAGACACAAACAGCATGTAAAAGAAGTCTGTGGTAAAATCAAGTGGGTAAGATATTATTTTGTGCATTTTAATTTTACTTCAATTCATACTTACTTCTCTGACTTCCACAAGATGGTCTGGAGGTAAGTGAGCTCTTTTGTTCATGGACTGTAGTTTGGAATGTCCAACATTAAAAAAAGAAATGGCATTTTGGCTTGGTCTCCTCTGGGATATCGGAGAATTGCCACTAGATGCAAGTGAGAAGCTCCGTGACTTCAGAGGAGGATTATTCTGTTAGACAAACAAAATCATTTCTTTTATTTTTTTGGTTCTCTGACCCTCATATACTTGAAGCTTACACATGAACAGTTTGAAAAATTCAATTACTTAACCTCAGAGTCGATTATATACATTTCTGAAAATGATAAAATTTAAGACATTCAAATTTTAAGCATTTCATACATGTCACAGTAAACTGATGATTTATTTTAAAAATTAATTTCTAGTTTTGTACTATTAAGAAATCTTTCTAATATTTTACAAATACTAGAATAACAAGACTTTGTAATTGCAGATCGTTAAAACACCATGATTAAAATAAAAAATATGTTGAGCAATATGCAATATAATAAAAATTTTAATGTAACCTTGGAACAGACAAGTACTTTCTGATCACTGATTATGACTAGACTCTTATAGTATAAGTAAAGCTTTTGTGTCAGACTGCCTGAAGACTAGTCCAGAGGCTTAAAAAGAAATAAAATTTAAAAATTTACTTAGGGGAAAGAAACCAGGACAAAAAAATTACACAATAAAAGTCAAGCTACTGCCTAGATATAGAATAATGTATATTACTTTTTAGCATAGTGCCTAAGGCATTTGACAGCTAACCAGAAGGCTGGAGGTTCAAACCCGACCAGCCACTCCTCAGAAGGAAGACTGGGCAATCTATTTACATAGAGATACTGCCTTGGAAACCCAAGGAGGGGTCTCTATGAGTCAGGACCAATTCCACGGCAGTGAGTTTGGGTTATTTTTTTAGTTTAACTAATAAAATTTTTTTTTAAAAAAAAATAGGCGGGCCCAGAGAGAATGGGAGAAAAATGTGGCACAAAACTCAGTATCATAAAAAAGACCAGGCTTACCTGTGGAACCCCTGAGACTATGGTTCTTAGACACCCTTCAAACCTAGAATGGAAATCATTCCTATGGCTCAAATTTCAGCCAAATGACAGATAGGCCTATGAGGTGGATGTTAACACCAGGGAGGTACGCACTCCTAGCACAATGAAACATATGAGATCAAAAGGGTGGCATGTCAAACAAAGTACAGGCATGTGAGTTAAACATTTACCTCAAGTAGACACACACCCTGGAGAGAACAATCATGGGAGAAGGAAGGGCTGCTTATGCACAGGGAGATAGCTCAGGGTGCAGAAGAGTAATGAAGGGATGGACACTGGGAGGAGGTAACTATGGGGAGGAAGTGGGAGGGGAGCTGCTGCATTATAAATTTTGGTCAATGACATGAGACAAAGTATATGTGAACTGCTGTATGAAAAGTGAATTTACTCTGTAAATCTTCACCCAAATCCTAAAAAAAAAAAAAAAAGGGGGGCATGGGCCCAGGGATAAAGCTCAGAAGGTGGAAAGGGACAAGAAAGGAGGACAAAGGGAATGGTAAATACAGGCAGAAAGTGGGAAGGGTCACATTACATTTTGGGGATTGCAATCAATGTCACAAAACGTGTATGAAATGTTGAATAAAAAACCAATTTGCTCTGTAAATTTTCACCCCAATCACACACACACAAAAACAAAACCCATGGATCAAAATAAAATTACTAAAATATTCCAAGAAAATATACAAATGACCAATAAACACATGAAAAGATACTTAATATCATTAGTCACCAGGGAAACAAAACCATAATGAAATACCATTTCACACCCATCAGGATGGCTAGGATCAAAAAAGCAAACAAGTGCTGGTGAGGAGGTGGAGAAATCGGAACCCTCCTACATTACTGGTGAAAATGCAAAATGGTACAGGCACTTTGGAAAATAGTTTGGCAGTTCCTCAAAAAGTTAAAGATGGAATTACCATTTAAAAAGAATAACAAAACAACCCACTGCCATTGAGTCAATTTCAACTCCTAGTGACCCTATAGGACAGAGTAGAACTGCCCCATAGAGTTTCTGAGGCTGTAAATATTTATGGCAGCAGACTGCCTCATCTTTCTCCCCCTGGAGTGGCTGATGGGTCCAAACTGCCCACCTTCTGGTTAGTAGCCAAATACTTTAACCACTGTACTACAAGAGCTTCTAGAGAATTACCATATGACCCAACAATTCCACTCCTAGGTACAATAAAGAATTGAGATCATGTTCACATGAAAATTTGTATACAAATGGCCTGGAGTCTTAAAAGTCTGCAAATGGCCATCCAAGGTAGAAAAACTAGTCTCTATTTACCTGGTACAACAGATAAAGGAGAGTCAGGAATATGAGGAAGACATGGAATGTGTGGCTAATTGCCTCCATGAATAACTGCCTCCTTTGCCGTTAAGACCAGAACTAGATGGCACCCGACTACAATTATTGAACCTTTTGATTTAAGATTCTACAGAAGTAAGTTGTAGTCAATGTCATAAGACAAAGTGTATGTGAACTGCTGTATGGAAAGTGAATTTGCTCTGTAAACTTTCACCCAAATCATAATAAACAATAAATAAAGATTCTATAGAAATATCCTGATCAAAAGGGAGGAAATGCAAAACAGAATTTCAAATTCTCATGGACCCCCATGGAGGCTGGATGAATCTCCCTAACTCTTGCCCTGAGACAGTCTTTAAAACTTAAACCAAAAATATTCCCTGAAGTCTTCATAAAACCAGTAATAATTCAGTTTAATTAGTAAAGTATGTCAGCCTTGAGTATGATACTCCTTTAAGAACTACTATATGGCATCAAAAGCTACCCTAAAGAATAGACAGAAAACTTAGGGGGCAATGAGTTTATATTAATGGAGGAAGAACAATGTGTAAAAGAAAGTTAAGAATAGTTAAACAGCTTGAAGAATATAATCAATGTCACTGAATTGTTTATGTAGAAATTATCAAATTGATGTATGTTCTGCTATGTATAGTCTCAACAACAGCAAAAAACAAAACAAATTTTAAAAACGGGACACAAATGTTCACAACACAATTATTCATGGTAGCCACAAAACACTCAACAGCCAAATAAAATGTGGCATATTCATACAACAGAGTATTATTCCATGATAAAAAGAAATGAAGTACTGACACATGCTACAACATATGAAACTTCAAAACATTATGCTTACGGAAAGAAGCTAGACATATACTGTATGATTCCATTTATATGAAGTGTCCAGAATAGGCAAATCCAAAAAGTAGATCAGTGGTTGTCCGGGGATTGTCAGGGAATTGGGGACTGAGGAGTGACTACTAAAAGGTATAGAATTTCTATTTGATAAAATCTAAAATTAGATACTGGTGATGTTAGTACAGCCTTGTGAATAACGTGTAAACAAAACTTGGGAATAAACTGAAAACCACAGGATCGTACAAAAGGGTAAATTTTATGGCATATTAAACATACCTCAATTTTTTAAATGCAAATTAAAACAAAATTGTCTCCCCATTTTTGTGCATCAATACTGTATATAAATCCACATACCTTTCCAATAGCTTCAGTATGATGCTGTGTACATATCTGAAGTCTGCTAACCCAATGCTGTCGCTCTTTAGCATCTGTGGCTAATAAAAAGAATTTAAAAGTTATTCACTTTTATATTTACTTTTAGAATACAATTAATTGTCTATTGCATGAAGAATGTGGAGCTGAAAACCAGGGACTGGTCCTACTCCCCTAGGGCAAATGTCCCTGACTGGAGGGAAGTAGGGAAGAGGCCAAAGCAACAACCTTGTTAGGTAGTACAGTAACTAGTATGTGATATTCCATAAGGAGGATAAACTATACGTAGCTAAGTGGGAAAATGAGACTGACATGTCCTAAGTTTTCTCATAAAAATATGCTTTTATGTAAAGAAATAACACTTATTAAGCATTTAGTGTGTACTCAGAACTTACAGATCAATCCATTAGGACTACCATTATATTCTTGGTATTAACTAAATAATAATACTTTTAAAAAACACAAACTATACAGACTGATTCTACTCAAATAGAAGTTATTCTTTATTTTAACAAATATGGACATTTTCATAGATCCCAATTCATTATATTTATCACTGAAAACCTCAGAAGGGGAGGCAGACCAACTCAAGTAAAGGTGCAAAATGCATCTCCATGGCAGACATAAAAAAAATCATTTGAAGAAGTCATATTTTTAGATTTCTTGGTAATCAGGGTTTTGTCTACACAAATTTGTTGTTGTTGTTGTTGTTGTTATGTGCCGTCGAGTCGGACAAAAAACAAATTTGTTAGAGAGGCCAATTCTAAACAGACTTGTTCACTGGCCCGCCTGAAAAAGTTATTTATTAAAATAGATTTTATAAATTCTTAAAGCAATTTAAGCTTTAGAATATTGTACGTACATCATCATCATTTCTATTTCCAAAACCCAAATGAAGCAGGGAAGAACACTCACTTCTCAAGCAATGGAGAAAATCACAGTATTAATTCTCCTATCTCAATCCTACCTCTGAGTTTATACTGTTCTCCACTGGCAGCGTTAACAGTAAAGGTGTGAGAGTCCTCGTCACTGGGTGATATTACAGCTCCCGCAAGCTGCAAAGTGCCTCTGGGTTTTTGATTTCTAGACTGTTCATTTACAAAGTACTCCAATAATCCAGCTTCATTGTTTAAAACAAAAAACCTATAATGATTGAAAAAAAGAAAAGGTTATTATTTTTAAACATTTCCCTGAGACAAACTAAAGCAAATCAAATTTCAATCACTTACACACTTCAGGGTTTTTGCTATTAAAAATAAAATTCAAAAGCATTTCAAAAAGTACTAGGTGAATTCCTATTGGTAAAGATTACTGAAAAAACTGAATGGGATTAATAAAATACACAAAATCTTCCCCTGAGAAAGAGGCATCTGACAGAGAGGAGGCATAGCAGTTAATACACAAAAGGAAACAAAGATACAATTTTTTTAGAGGAAGATTTCTCTCCAGAATTCATTAACAGAGAGGGGAAATTTCCCAAAGTCAAGCAGTAGTAAGAGTTTTTATTTAAAATGTATTAGAAACAAATCAAAACACGAACTCTGAGGTGAACTAAATGCTAGGTAAGAAAAGAAATCTGATTTAAGATTTAATAAGTGAAATATACAATGAGAATAATGTCAGGGTGGAAAAATTTTGTGAATATATCATTAAGTAGGTCACAACCAAAGACTACTCGTCCTGTTTAAAAATGAAACGGCTGCAACTGGAGATGCAGAAACATAAGGAACTTGAAACTAAATGATGAAATACTGATATACTTTGGAGGAGAACTTGATGTTCTGATTTGGTTCTAGATTAACTACTTTAGGAAATAAATTAATTAAGATCCCAATTTAAGTAATATAGGAGATCTTTTCTTACAGAAAAGAAAACTTCTAAAAAGTTTCAACTTTTCAAAAATGATGTTTGGAAAAGTGGAGCAGTTTGGCAGTCTATATTTTAGCATGAACCTGTCAGATAATTTGATCTAGTTCAATTTCCTGTAAGATATTAATTGTTCCAACCAATGTGGTAACCATATCAAACTGAATCAGGAAAGAATGGAATCAGCCTTATATAAAGGGAAAGTAAAAGAACTGGTAAGAAGCAACCAAAGAAGATGGCAATGGTTGCCTGAGAAGGGAAATGGGAAAGTAAAAGACTATTGCTTTTATCATGTCTTTTAGCATGCTTCTGATTTTTAAAATTATATTCACATATTTTGATTTCAAAAATAATTCTTTTTTTTTTCAGTGTTAAGAGTTTTTAAGCTTACATTGTTAGTGACCTGCCTGTCACATTTTTGCCCATTGTACTAGGATTGTTTATTTTCTCAAAGGTTTAAAGGAATTATTTGAATTAAAATAAGATAATCGTTGACATCATCTTATAAAACATAACATTATCTTTTAAATATCATATATAAACCATATGGCCTGTCCTTAAAATGCCCATGTGGATGTTCTAAAGAAAAAAAAAAAAAAAAAAACATCAAAAAAACTAAAGGGGTATGCTTCATGTTAGCAAGGAAACAATCTCTTGAATAAAATAAAAACTACTGAATTATACACTTTAAGTGAGTGAACTGTATGGTAAGTTAATTATATCTCAGTAAAGCTCTTAATAAAAAAGAGAGAAACGAAACAATAATCTTTTTCCACTGTATCAAGAAATAAGCATATTGTTTTCAAATAGGTAAAGGAAAATGACTGGTCTCCCCTTTGAAAATCAGTCAAGCAAAAAGTACATCTCCTTGCTGAAAAAGAAATAAGAAAATCAATACCGTTCTCAATAGCTACCAAAAAAATAAAATACTTGGGAATAAATCTTACCAGAGACACAAAAGACCTCTACAAAGAAAACTATAAAAAGCTACTTCAAGAAACCATAAAAGACCTACATAAATGGAAAAACATCCCATGCTCATGGATAGGAAGACTGAACATTGTGAAAATGTCAGTTCTACCCAAAGCAATCTATACATTCAATGCAATCCCAATCCAGATCCCATCAACATTCTTTAGGGATATGGAAAAAACGATCACTAACTTTATATGGAAAGGAAAGAGACCTCGGATAAGCAAAGCACTACTGAAGAAGAAAAACAAAGTAGGAGGTCTCACATTGCCGGATCTCAAAACCTACTATACAGCCACAGTAGTCAAAACTGCCTGGTATTGGTTCAATGACAGATACATAGACCAATGGAATAGAATTGAGAACCCAGGTATAGATCCATCGACCTATAGTCAGCTGATCTTTGACAAAGGCCCCAAATCCATTAAGTGGGGAAGAGAATGTTTGTTTAATAAATGGTGCTGGCAAAACTGGAGATCCATTTGCAGAAAAATGAAACAAGATCTGTACCTCACACCACACACAAAAACAAACTCCAGATGGATCAAAGACTTAAATGTGAAACCTAGAACTATACAGTTTCTCAAGGAAAATTTAGGGTCAAACTTAAGGGCCCTAATATTTGGTATAAATAGACTACCAAGCATAATTCAAAATGCACCAACAGCAGAAGAGAAGCCAGATGATTGGGACCTTCTAAAAATTAAATGTTTATGTGCTTCCAAAGACTTCTCCAAAAGAGTCAAAAGAGAACCTACAGATTGGGAAAAAATATTTGGTAATAACATATCTGACAAGGGACTTATCTCTAGAATTTATAGAACACTCCAACACCTCAATAACAAAAAGACAAACAATCCAATTAAAAAATGGGCAGAAGACATGAACAGACACTTCACCAAGGAGGATATTCAAGCGGCCAACAAACATATGAAGAAATGCTCACGATCATTAGCTATTAGAGAGATGCAAATCAAAACAACAATGAGATACCATCTTGCTCCAGCACTAGTAGCAAAGTTCAACAAGACAGAAAATAACAAATGCTGGCGAGGTTGTGGAGAGATTGGGACTCTCATACACTGCTGGTGGGACTGTAAAATGGTACAACCATTGTGGAAAGCAGTATGGCGATTCCTTCAAAAGTTGGAAATACAAATACCATTTGACCCAGCCATCCCATTACTAGGTATATACCCTAAAGAAGTGAGAGCCATAACAAGAACAGATATATGCACGCCGATGTTCATCGCAGCACTATTTACAATAGCCAAAACTTGGAAACAACCTAGATGTCCAACAACTAAGGAATGGATAACCAAACTTTGGTACATTCACACAATGGAATACTATGCAACGCTAAAGAATAATGTAGAATCTGCAAAACACCGCATAACGTGGATGAACTTGGAGGACATTATGCTGAGCGAAATAAGTCAGTCACAAAAGGACAAATATTGTATTAGTCTGTTATTGTGAAAGTTAAGGAAAGGTTTATATATTGGAGGACATTTTCTTTGTTGGTTACCAGGGGTGGGAGGGAAGGGGAGGGAATGCTGTTAGATAGATAGAGATAAATATTGATTTGGGTGAAGAGAAGGGCAATGTACCAAATGTGAGTGACCAATATGGCAGCATTGAGGATGAGAAAGACAGAGAGAGTTACATGGGCAGTACAAACAACAAATATGAACCCCTTTGTAAATACAATACTGAGTTGTTAATGAAAGCAAACATGGGTATAGGGACGGATAGATGGGTGAACAAGCTAAACAAGTATGTATGTCTAAATGGAGAGTGTATCCAAGATCATATACAGGGTTGGCAGACAATGGGCCTCTCGAAGAGTATGAAGGGATGGACACTGGGAGGAGGTAACTATGGGGAGGAAGTGGGAGGGGAGCTGCTGCATTGTAAATTTTGGTCAATGACATGAGACAAAGTATATGTGAACTGCTGTATGAAAAGTGAATTTACTCTGTAAATCTTCACCCAAATCCTAAAAAAAAAAAAAAAAAAAAAAGTACATCTCCAGAAATCTCAAGCTTGCCGTGAACAGGTATCTTACCCCAAAATTTACAACACGGAAGACACTCATCTAGATGTATAGAAAGTAATGTAGAAGGAGAACTGGTAAAATGCTACAAAGAAGTCAAGAACCGGTAATTGGTATTTGTCCACTACCAAGATGATGCTATAGACCCACTGGCAGGAACAGAGACCTCTGGGCATCTTTCAATACGCATGGATCAATCCAAACATTCTCCATTAGTCCTTTCTATGAACAGATATTTAACAAGATGTGTGTATAAGGGATAGACAATCCACAGTGAGGAAACATAACAAAAGCCCAGAAGGGTACTAGACTCTTGATTGAAGCATTATTAGCAAGTTGATCTAATCAATAAACTAAAGAAATGGAGAAACAAAGGCTAAGTGTGACAGGGAAATTTAAGACTCAGCATAAGCCTTTACACAGAAAATTCACTCAAATTCTTCAAAGAAAATGTTAAGACTGTTATAACTTTGCTTTTGTAATTTCAAAATACCAAAGACTGTCTCAAGTTGCCACTGACCTGAAATGCCATCTTTAACATACACTGAATCTTATATGCTTGGATCTGTTTGGGGGCTTTCTGTGTGAGACTTTTTCAATAATATGACGTGCATGAAAGCTGTTGAGTGTTGGGGGAGAAAAGCAACCTACTTCCCTTTTAAGAAAGAACATAAAAAATAGTGCTAAGGAGCAAAGTAATGTAAAATTAAAAAAAAAAAAAGTTAACATTCTGTACATCATTTGAATGTATACATCTCTAAAAATTACATAAAAACTGAGATGGAAAAATGGAAATAAAAAAGCTTTCTTTCTTGACTCTGCTTTTTATAAAAGATGGGAAGAATTTCCTTTTCACTGCAATAGGAATGATTCTCTTCTACGTTTCCATATCCAGCTTTGCTCGCTCCTATGACTTCCACCTACCTGCAGGGCACCTCCAATTGAATGCCTGAATGTTAAACCAAAATACCAAATCCATTACCACTGATTCAATTTCAACTCATGGTGACCCCATGTGTTACAGAACAGAACTGCTCCACAGGGTTTTCTTAGCTCTAATCTTTACAGAAGCAGATCACCAGGCTTTTCTTCCACAGTGCCGCTGGATGGTTTGAACTGTTAACCTTTCATTAGCAGTCAAGCAAGCACAAATGTGTACACCACCCAGGGACCTTCTCCTTCAGATTACTTCAAGCAAACTAAACATGACCCAAATTGCCTTCCCTTCTATTTTATTTCAAAAATGTATTATAAAACATTTCAAACAGAAACAATGACTAGTACAATAAACCACCATGTGCCCATAACCTAGCTTCAAAAACTATCAACTAATGGCTAACCTTATTTCTTTTCCTTTTTTTCATATTATTATTATTTTTTAGGAGCGCTGGTAGCATGGTGCCTAAGGCACTTGACTGCTAACCAGAAGGCTGGTGGTTCAAACCCACCAGCCACTCCTCGGAAAGAAGGTTGGGCAATTTACTTCTGTAGTGATACTGCCTCGGAAACCCAAGGAGGGGTTGCTATGAGTCGGGTCCGACTTGATGGCACATAACAACAACAACAACAATTATTTTTTAATAGTCACATTTTTAATCAGTACTTCCACTATTCTTTCAAGTGTCTAGAAAACATTTTTTTCATGTATTATGCACTGTTTTCTGGTTTTTTAAGGTAGGAGGCTCCTATTACTCCATCATGGCTAAAAGCAGAAGTCTCCAAATGATAATGTGAATTAGGAGCTGCATGATATAATGGAAATGAACATAGACTCTGGAGCCACAAATATCTGGGTTCAAATCCTAGTTTTATCACTAACAAAAAAAAAGTTTAATTTCCCTACCTCACAACTACCAATTACATAAAGTATCTTTGATAGCTGACTTTAGGTGCTTATTTAACCTCTCCAAGATCCCAGAGAAGCTTTGAAAATCTGCATAAAATAGGCTCCTAACACAAATGTTTCTCACCTCCAAACCTCTATTTCTGTGCTCCAAGAGCCTAGCCTCTGCAAGTATAAAAAGGCTAAGGTGGGTGAACAAGTGAGTCTAAGCCTAATATAATAGTAAGTTCTGTGGCTGTCATTTGGGCAGAAGTCAACTCCTCCTACCTTTTAAGAAAGAAAAGAAAGCCACCAGACTTTGCCCTATTATTACACACTCTTGGGAGGGTTACACAACATCAAATAATCACACTGACCTGTACTGCCACCCGGTGACAAGGTTGGTGTACTTCATTAAATAGCCATAGACATTTTCCATGTGATCACTGTTTCAAAAAGAACAAAAGAGCCTAAGTCAGTGGAAATTAGACGAAATCCTAAGAAGCTAACTGTACAGATTTGCAAATAGCTGTAGACACAGATATATTTTCTATAAAAGTCTCAAACCTTCTTCAGAAGTAAAATTTATAGGTTAACACATAAAGAGGCATTTAATCCCTAAATTTCCTATCTGTAAAACTTTACCATATTTCTTCAAAAGTGTAATTTACCATAAACTATTATAAATATCCAAATATAAATATCATATTATAGAAATATAATTACATGTAGAACAGATATCCTAGAAACATAAATACATAGTATTTTATAACATTCAAAACATCAAAAGCAGTAAAATCGAGTTTTATGGTTCTAGAATAATCAAAAAAGGTGTCGATATCAAATAGCGCCTCTTCACCCTGGTGGGACACACAAGATGCCAATCTGTTTTTGTGCCTCTGGTCCCCTGGACTTCTAAAACGAAGATCCTGTTTTTGATGGCAGTACGACACCTCATTCCCACTCCCCCGCTCAGACAGGCATAACGCAAAGGGCATAAGTTTTGCCTGTGGGAAGATTTAATTTTAGACTTGTGTCATGCACCTTCTACAACTGAGTTTCTCCCTGCCACCCCCCATCAATTTTTTTGTTTCTTACAGGTATGCTGTGTTATAGTATGTCATAGAAAATGCAATACTTCATTACTACTTCTTTTCTAATATTTTAAGGTTCCCTTATACTTATGAAAAAGGAGCTCTGGTGGCACAGTGCCTGAGGCATTTGACTGCTAACAGAAGGTTGGCGGTTAAAACCCACCAGCCACTCCACAGAAGGAAGACTGGGCAATCTACTTCCGTAAAGATTTACTGTAAAGATTTTTTTGAAACCCAATGGGGGTGGCTATGAGTCAGAATCGACTCAATGGCAGTGAGCTTGGTTGCTTTTTTTTTTTTCCATACTTATGAAAGAGGAGCTGTGGTGGTGCAGCAGTTAAAGAATTCTGTTGCTAATCGACAGGTCAGTGGTTTGAACCCACTAGCCACTCTGTGGGAGAAAGATAAGGCAGTCTACTTCCGGAAACATTTACAGCCTTGGAAACTCTATGGAGCAGCTCTGCATTGATTCCGTAACTGAATAAACATTTTATTTTATTGTTTTCTGCATTGTTCTTGCATTACACATTAGCAAGCATTGTTTATTAATATTAACTGAAACAGCTCAAGTCCTTTTGGTTCATAAAATGCTTGTTCTCAGGAAGGCAATGGTTGCCAACTTCTAAAATGCCATTAAATAGATCTTTTCTGTTATGTTAAAACTGAGAGCACCAGTTGAATTTTCATCTCAGTATTTTCCAAAGCCTACATCTAGAGGAAAGGATTCTCTAGAAACCCAGCCCTTTGCGTTTTTGCTAGAGTTTTCTACTCCTCCAGCCCCAGGTCACACACAATCAAGCTACTTCTTTCAGTTCCCCTGGTACTTAGATAAACAGAGATACTTTCTTACCTGGTCCCTATGTTCTCCCCAGGTCTAAACTCCTTTTTGAGGCCACAGGAATCCCAATGCTCCAGGACTCTGCCCAAAAATAATCCCACAAAGAGTCTTCTTTGCTTGTGGTACTTAACACACAACTGTTTCTCTAAACTCAACTTGTCTCAAAACTTATTTGTTCTTTGTCTGTTCTGAACTGTAGGTTGCTCTATAATCTGCATATTGTTATTTATTTACACTCTGCATCAATCCACAAAAGGCCTCAGGTAGCACAAAAGAAAATTAAATATTTCCGCAAAGGGTCAAGATATTTCATAATTCGCCACTTGGGGACTTCTCCTTTACTTTAGGTTTTCTACACCAAGCCTCCCTTACTTGTTGTTGTTGTTGTTGTTATGTGCCGTCGAGTCATACCTGACTCATAGCGACCCCTCCTTGGGTTTCCGAGGCAGTATCACTACGGAA